TGACAGAGCCCTGTCCAGAAGCAGTCCTCCACAGTGAACAGTCGGCTGTGGCTACTGGCTAGTATTTGTCTTTCATTTGCATTTGCACTCCAGCCCTGGGTTGAAATGGTGCTTATGATCAGTTATATTAAGCCAGACAGAGAGGCAGAATTAACTGTTAGTTTTTGTAGTGTCTATACTGCCTGTCAGAGCATGCCAGTGTGCCTGTACCCAGCTACTGAGGCTGCCAAGCTCTCTGAAAAATGAGCATGCTGGAGGAACAGGTACAGTCAGAAGCCATGCAAGCCAGGCATGCAATGGCACTGAGATTTTGGTGTCAACAGCTATAAGGCCAAGCCTGAAGGCAGGAGAAAAACCCCACCAAACATAGGCATAGTTAATTGAAAGCCCAGTCTGCAGCATGCTGCTGGATAACTTTCTAGATGTCTTGTGTGGGTATTGTCATGCTGCAAAAAGTAATTGTTGTAAACTTTAACATCTACTCTTCAGAGATCTCTGCACTCTTCTGTCACATCTATGACCCACAAACCTCAAGATTCATCAGCAGTGTGGGCTATTTGCAGGAAGAGTAGGGAGAGTTTACTCCAGAGTCTACTTAGTGCCAATAGTTAACCAGGTTTTTATCTCCCATAAGCTACAGGCTCTATTCCCAATAGCTTTTCCACTTCTGATTCCCCTTCCTTTTGTCTCTACTTTTCTGCACGTTATCTGGGGATGTATTTTCAACTGCTGGTATCTCCTTTAAAAGGACTTTCACCCACATGAAAACAAGGTAATACCTCAGCTTACTGCAATATTGCTGTCTTACGTTTTTGCAGACTTCGAGTTTAACAAAAGAAATGTACATAGAAAAGCAAGATTTTACCTCTCTGTGGGAAAATATGAAAAGGTAATTAAATAAAGACACTTGCATCTTTGATCTGCACCTGGTTCTCAAGAAAATAATGGAAATTCACTCTCCTAGTCAAGACACTGTCTTACGTGAAGAAAATTACTGCCATGGCAAGGAGAGTGGGGTGAAGAACTTCCAAATATACTGAATATACTGGTGATGCAGTTTTGCTGTAAACTGTGATAGGTTTTGAGCACTTTAACATTTTAAATATGTCTAAAGAACAATCTGTAAAATTTCCAATAATGCTGGTACATTCTTCCTCCATGTAGTTTGATGTTATATCTTTATAGCACCTCTCTTTAGTGGAAGAAACAAAATGTTGCATATAACCGGAGTGAAGTCTTTGATTGAATGTAATTTTGGATGTGATCAAGCTGCAACTTTTGCATTTCTTAGGAATAATGATCTGGCTGCAGTACCCTTTATTTTGATGTCTGAAAAAATGTGCTGCAAAAATAGTTTAGAGAGCTGAGTCACAGCTGCACAAGAGTTCATAGACTGTTTTCGGAACACGAAGAAGCAATTTACTTGAACCTCAGAGAAATACACCAGTCAGTTTATGTTTGGAGCCAGTTCCTAAAATAGATTGCTCATTTCATGACCAAAGGAAAGCACAGTCTTGCTGAGATGCACCAAGTAAGTACATGCCTACGCCAGGTTCATGTTTAGCATTGGTGGAATAACTTACTAACTCCATTGTAAGCTTCAGAGGAATGGTTGTTTCGAATGACAACCAGTGCTGATGCTAAAAGCAAACAGTTGTGGTTAATTATTTAATATCTTAGGGATAACTGACAGCATTTTGGGCATCATGAGGTTCTAGTGACTGCACAAGAAGGAAAGAGCTCATTTTACAGCTGGGGCTTAGCTTCTCACTGTTTGAAGCCCCTTATGGCTAAGCTGTATGGCTAACATGGTCAAAGGAATGTGCTGTCCAGGCGTTCTCATTGTCATTCTGCTCACATGGATTACTGTGCTGCCTTTCCCAAGATAAATCAACTGACTAAGGTGACTGGGATTTGCTGTCTGTGCTAAAGAAGATGTGGTTTCAACAGTCTTCAGAAGCAGCTGGCAGTTTCATTAGCCCTGTAACCAGGAGGTATGTGAGCAGCTGCTGCAGGAGAGTCCTTGTCCCTTCACACTTTCTGCAGGAGATCAGTTCTGGTGAAGTACAGCAAAATCAGGTAGCGAGCGTGCAGCTTTGGTTGCGAATGGACAAAGCCATCTTAAAGGAGAGCAATTTGCACAGCCTTTCCTCATGTGTGCAAACCTGCTGTTTTCACCAATTGCCTACAAAAGTGGTCACTCTCTTCCCCTTGGTAGTATATCTTGGATCAAAGTGTATTAAGGTTTCAGAGTCTCAAAACCTCTTCCATGACCTGCAGGGTCACATACATTGACTTTCAGTGGAACTAGAAGAGCAGAGTCATTAAGGCATTCTTGGATTTTTTAGTGAAGGGCTTCTTTCACAGAAATGAGCAGTTTAATCAATGTTGTCTAATGATTTTGAGTGACTGTAACTTACAACGTGGCTTACAGTATCCACATTTCTAATTTTTAGGTTCTGCTTTTCTATCTGCTTCTCAATTTGACTGTTTATATCTGGTTAAGGCTTTTCATTTGTTTTTTAGAACAAAGAACAGTTGTTGATTAAAGCAGTAAGAGTTATAATTAAATTAAGTGTAAAACAGTACTGTAGAATTATCATTAGCTTTGTTGCCCAAAAGAGGTTGTCCAAAGGTTTTCACCAGAGTATGCTGAGAATAATTCAAATTAAATTGGAGCAATTGCATCAATGTGATCAAAAGAAAGTCAGAATCAGCATTTTTTTACTGTAAGATAGTATTTCTTTTTAGGACTGTACAACACACACATACGAAATAGCAACTTTGCTTTTCTCTTTGACAAAGTAAAGCCTGGTTTTTGTCACAATTTCTATTTAAAAATTGGCTATTTGACAAATTTGAGAATGTTTGGTGAGTAAGACAATTTACAGTGTTGTAGATAATGTTTCACAGGACTGGTGAAACTGGAGTTGTTTTTCAAGCTTAAGGTTGTGTTATTGTTGTTTGTAGCCTTACTCTTTTCCTCAAAAACAGACCTATATTTTTTTTCCTTAAAAAACTAGTTACTACCTGAAGTGTAGCATCTTTTCCATATGATGAGACTTCTTAACACTCATGAACACTCAGAAGAAAAAAAAACAACATTATTGCCAATTCTAGTCCATCAATCAGAAAACTGTCATTTAATAAAGAAAAGCAAACAGGTGTGGTTAATTATTTAATATCTTAGGGATAACTGACAGCATTTTGGGCATCATGAGGTTCTAGTGACTGCACAAGAAGGAAAGAGCTCATTTTACAGCTGGGGCTTAGCTTCTCACTGTTTGAAGCCCCTTATGGCTAAGCTGTATGGCTAACATGGTCAAAGGAATGTGCTGTCCAGGCGTTCTCATTGTCATTCTGCTCACATGGATTACTGTGCTGCCTTTCCCAAGATAAATCAACTGACTAAGGTGACTGGGATTTGCTGTCTGTGCTAAAGAAGATGTGGTTTCAACAGTCTTCAGAAGCAGCTGGCAGTTTCATTAGCCCTGTAACCAGGAGGTATGTGAGCAGCTGCTGCAGGAGAGTCCTTGTCCCTTCACACTTTCTGCAGGAGATCAGTTCTGGTGAAGTACAGCAAAATCAGGTAGCGAGCGTGCAGCTTTGGTTGCGAATGGACAAAGCCATCTTAAAGGAGAGCAATTTGCACAGCCTTTCCTCATGTGTGCAAACCTGCTGTTTTCACCAATTGCCTACAAAAGTGGTCACTCTCTTCCCCTTGGTAGTATATCTTGGATCAAAGTGTATTAAGGTTTCAGAGTCTCAAAACCTCTTCCATGACCTGCAGGGTCACATACATTGACTTTCAGTGGAACTAGAAGAGCAGAGTCATTAAGGCATTCTTGGATTTTTTAGTGAAGGGCTTCTTTCACAGAAATGAGCAGTTTAATCAATGTTGTCTAATGATTTTGAGTGACTGTAACTTACAACGTGGCTTACAGTATCCACATTTCTAATTTTTAGGTTCTGCTTTTCTATCTGCTTCTCAATTTGACTGTTTATATCTGGTTAAGGCTTTTCATTTGTTTTTTAGAACAAAGAACAGTTGTTGATTAAAGCAGTAAGAGTTATAATTAAATTAAGTGTAAAACAGTACTGTAGAATTATCATTAGCTTTGTTGCCCAAAAGAGGTTGTCCAAAGGTTTTCACCAGAGTATGCTGAGAATAATTCAAATTAAATTGGAGCAATTGCATCAATGTGATCAAAAGAAAGTCAGAATCAGCATTTTTTTACTGTAAGATAGTATTTCTTTTTAGGACTGTACAACACACACATACGAAATAGCAACTTTGCTTTTCTCTTTGACAAAGTAAAGCCTGGTTTTTGTCACAATTTCTATTTAAAAATTGGCTATTTGACAAATTTGAGAATGTTTGGTGAGTAAGACAATTTACAGTGTTGTAGATAATGTTTCACAGGACTGGTGAAACTGGAGTTGTTTTTCAAGCTTAAGGTTGTGTTATTGTTGTTTGTAGCCTTACTCTTTTCCTCAAAAACAGACCTATATTTTTTTTCCTTAAAAAACTAGTTACTACCTGAAGTGTAGCATCTTTTCCATATGATGAGACTTCTTAACACTCATGAACACTCAGAAGAAAAAAAAACAACATTATTGCCAATTCTAGTCCATCAATCAGAAAACTGTCATTTAATAAAACTCTGTGGTAGTTACCTCATTAATATCATCCCGTGTGAGCTGTGTGGTTTTTTAAGGCATGAAAGATAATTCCTCCTGCAGGCCAGTAATGCAGTAAACCATGACTGTGTATTAATTTAAATATCTATTAGTGTGGCTGACTCTGATGTCTGCAGCATAGCAGCAAAAAATGTTCACATTTTTCATTCTCATAGAAAATTCATGTTTTTATAGTTTTCTTTCTTTTCTTCTTCAAGAAGGGTGAAGCTGCTCCATTTTTTAATCCTGGAAATTTTTATATTTTAGTTATTCCATGCTGGAATCTTGAATCTAATGGTACTAATTCTTATTCCTGTCAGGTATAAGTTTATCTATTCATGGGGCTGAAAAGCGTGCGCAAATCTGTCAGAGGAGAACTGCAGCAAGCTACCCAGTGTCACAGCGTCCGCCCGTGGTCGGGCATCCTTCACTCCCACAAGTCAGAAGGTCAATAAAAATGGAAGCCTCATCTTCTGGATCTATTTCAGCAGTCACTGGTGAAAAAGCAAAAACACATCAGCCAGGTAACAGATTTGGCTTAATACCTTTTTCAGTTCCATTTCTTTTGTACTGTGCCAAGATGTTGTGAAGCTGGTATCAATAATCAATGCTTGCATGGAGGACAGTCTGTTGATGATCAGAGGTATCGATCGATGTTTTGTCTACGTTTGGTATGGTTTTGTCCATTATAGGTTATAGGGAGTAACAACAGTTGGGACAGCTGAAAATGGGAAATTAAAATGTAAGTTTAATCATTAAAAAACTTGCAACATGTAGTGGCGTCCAGAATGTTAATGTAGAGAGAGCTTTGGGCTGTTGTTTTTTAATACTTTTCCCCTTATGCATGTTTAATTTTGATGAGCCCTGAGCTAATGGCAACACTCTGGAGGCTACAGGCATCCCCTGTGGAACTCAGTAATTGACACTAATGTTCATTTTGAACAAAGGCATAATCCAGGGTATAGATCAAAGTCTTGCTGCTAGAGCGCAAACAAGAACTCTAGATCCAAAGGAGATTTTACAACATGCGCTAACTGGTTAACAAAATTAAACTTTTTAAAAGAAAACTAGAATCTCCTGGGAGCCATCAAATTCTAATTGACATCATGAGTTCATCCCTTGTTATGTTAATTGCCAGAGCTATTTTAGAAGTATCTTTTCTTATAACAGGGGAGTACATTTGTGCTGGCCATGTTCAGTCATTCTTCACAGTGAAAATTAAACTCCAAATTTCTTTCCTGAGTAGAGCAAATTAAGGCTGCCCATGAAGTCAGTTTTGTAACTTCTATATTGAAGGGTCTCAATAATCTTCCAGTGTTACTACCCAGGAAAGGCCATGATGCACCCTATATGCAGCTACTTGGGTGCCACAAAGCAGAGTCTGTGTGGGACAGACAGTTCTGCCTGCAAACCCTGAGCATACTTCCATTACCTTGCAGACCTAGTAAATAGCTTAATTTTTTGTAGAAGTTGAGAATTTAGATTATTTGTTGTGGGTTGCTGTGCAGGTCTACTGCCATGAGTTTCATGCACCCATACTGTTTAGTCATCATAATCTTTGTCAACACAGATTAATTAAGAATTTACAGTGACTCATAACCATATGCTTTGTTTATTTCAGTTCCTCTGTTCACTTGTTCGTCTTTCTATTTTTTCAGTTTCTATGTTTTTTTCTTTGAAGTACAGAAATTGCTACTACAGAAATGTTGTTGTTGCTAAAGATATATAATCATGACTGCAGCATGTTAAAAGATTGACAAATTAATATTGCATAACAGTTTGTGAAAAAAAGTTCCTTGAATATCCCCAATAACTGTATTCATTTCAAGCTGTTACACGTTGTACATCTATGTGTTGATAGATGTAGCCTGTGCTTTAATACTAATTAATGTGCAAGCACTATACGCTGACTTGTGATTGAGAAAAAGATCCCTTTTTAGGTAGACCACAGAGGTTTCCTAAAAGGGAGCTCATTAGTTAGCATCATTTTGAGGATGATTCTCTGAGGAATTTAGCTCTCAGTACAGTCATATGAGATGAGTTTTGTCTATTGTATTTTGCTCTTTAGACAATAACAGCAAATATGACTTACAGAGAATGTTCTTGGTAGTTTGGTTCAAGGAGGCATTTAGTATTATGAGCTTCACTGAAGTTAAGAGGAGTTAATAGTATCCAGAACTTTAAATGCTGCAGATGTATGACAGGAGTCTTCTCTTAACCAAATTACAGTGTCATTGTTTCATCTGGTATGAAATCATGTTTTTATGATTTGGGTCTGACTTTTTAATTCTCTGTAAGAACACTAAATTTGTCTCTGTGTCCAGATTAAATTACAACTATTTGAGCTGTATGCAAGTAGACTTTAAGAAAGATTATGGTCAGGCAGCAATCTTAATAAATAACTCTCCTAAGAGAAAATTTTAATTTAAGCCTAAAATCTTATGTTATTTACTCTTAGAGAGCCACAAATTAACAGCTGCAGCTTCATAAATAATTAGCATAATAAACTAGTTGACCAATGGCAGTACCTTATTTAAGGCTGTACATTATAAATAGTTAAGTATTTCAGAGAGAAAATGTTCTGATGTATACTAATTACTCAGGTAACAGATCTTACACCACCATTTTCCAAGCTATCCTCCTCCTATTGCATGGAGTTAACTCCTCAGATTTTTGTTCAGTATAATTTTAAGTAGTTCATGCAATTTGGGTTCTTCCTTCTATTGGAGTGCTGTTACCACAGTCAAGTAGGTCTCACTGTTGGAACAGTATACATAATACTCAGTCTGAAATTTCCTCTGTACAGTTAACAACTACTCCAAACATGAAGACAGTCTGGCATAATAGATTGTACAGAAGGTTATTGTGAGGATTTCAAATGGATTTCTAATTCTTATCAATCAGTCTAGAAACATGGAAAGAAAAGATTCTTGATAAAATGACAGAGTTATGAATGTGTGTATTTTTTCCCCTCTTAACAGCACACTAGTTCTGTTTTCTGCATACCACTTTGCTTCCCCTGGCCACATTTCTTCTTTCCAGAATGACACCTTTTATGATGAATTCTTTTTAATTGACAGCTGTTTCCTTTGACTGAAGTTCATAGGTAGCTACATGCTAAGGAGGAAGAACTATGGATATTGTTCAGTGTTACAGCACTCCTTTTCAGCTTGTTTCCCTGCCAGTTATATTTGTAGCTGATAAGGAGCTTGAGGCTGATGACTTTTGATGTTACTCTAGGGGTTAGAGGGGCTAGAGAGCAGTAAGTTGTACATAATATGCCTTATTAAAATAAAAATTTTTAAAAAAATGTGTTGTGCAAGCTTGCAAATAAGTATTGCTCAGCCACAAGCAGAACCGCAACTTTTGAACTCTGATTTTAAGCAGATCAGAAAGCATTAAGTAACTGAAACAAAACACAGGAAAACACAGGAATTAATGGAATAAAATGTCTGTTAATGGTGAAGACTCCTGACACCTTTGCAGGTGCAGCTGTATGAGTGAAGTTCCTCTTAGAAAGGAGAAAAAGCAATCAGATGGTAAATTTAGATGCAAAAATACTGAGGCAAATACACATTCCTTCCAGAATGAGGGAGGAACAGTAGTTTTAGTTTTGAGAAACTTCCAGTTACTATCTCCCAGTTAGGTGAGCAGTTGTGGTATGTTGTGGCTAATGGGGTACAAGGCTATTATTGAAGTACAGGGTTCAAAGCATTTGAGACAAACCTTTGGCTGCTGTAAATTGTTAAACCTTTCCTGAAGATGATTTATGATTCATGTGTCTGTATTACACACAGGAGGCTTATTTTGAAAACAATGGTAATCAGCATTTAGGTTGTCTGTAAGAGCAGCAGAGCCAAGTACTGGATGAGCCAAGAGGAGGTTAAACTCTCATGCCAGTCTGTTACCTTAGTGCCAGGGTTAGGCAGATCTGGGGGCAAAAAAAGTGCTTGCCTCACTTCTGACAGTGTTGCGCCTTTGTGATGGAGTATGCAGGACTTTAATTTCTGCCTGCTCTTTCCATCAATACTCTTTAATCCAAATCAGGACAATATTACCTTGCTTCCTCCTGTTGGTGATGAATTCTTTGATTCTCAGACTCTGCAGTATTTGTCAAGCCTAGTTTCTCTGGGAGTCATTAAATTTTCCAGCTGTGGAAAAATTGCCTTATTTGATAAGTCTAAGCAACAGTAAATTGAATTCTTTCATTGTGTCAAACTCCAGAACCTTCTTAGTTCTTCTCTATTTACAATGCTTGCTAATAATTGTTACCCATTTTGTAATAACAGGGATTCAAAGATTCCTCAGCAAGATTTTCTTTCTAAGTGCTTCCTGTAAAGGCCTCTGATGAAGCCTTCATGCATTTGAGTTTTGTATAGAAGTGAATATATAATAATGTATATATTAATTTATATGACTTGTACAGATTAGATCTGCAGGCAATATACACATCCAACAGGTAGCACTGTCTTTGAAATAATTTATTTCAATAATTTAGTAAATATGTAAAGAGTTTTCACCCCAGAAAACACATAAAAATATTCCAGAAATTTCTGCTTTCAAGAGTTTACTGTTCAAAAATACTGCCTTCAAAGCAAAAGAACAGTACATTTTGGAATGGAGAACTCTTGCTTCCTGAAATGATATAGGCATATCCATTATATTTGAAAGAATTTTATGTTCAATGGCAGGGAAACAACTACTGAAAGGACTGGTTTCTGGCATTATGGTAGAAGTCTAGTGGGGTCATTGGAATTCAGTGAGAATCTCTTTTTCAGCAGTCTCTTGTCTGTTATGACAAATATTACCTGATAGATAAGTTAGAAATGTTAAAGGAAGATGTATTTGCCTTTAGGCATGCTTTTCTTTACTTTTGGATCCTCTTTTTTCTTACTGCTCATCAAACTGTAGCATTTTTATTGATGCCTGTAGTTACTGGTCATGAAAATAAGAAAGATGATCTAGTGCTGTTGGCCAACAGAACTGGCTTGGGAGGCAAGGAAAAATGCAAGGTTCTTGAAACTGTGGCAATTAAAATTAAAAGAATAAAGGAAATATATGTTTAATGAGCTTAGTCACAACTTAATGAACTTTGAATCATCAAGGAAATTATAACTGAGTCCTTCAAAAATGACAATTTACTGTGCAAAAGATACCCTTTTTTCATCAGAAAATGTGCACATGCTTGTCAGCATTCACGTTTTGTTGTGAATGGTCTTTAGAAGATCTGTGTGTGTTAGATGTCATTTGTTGGTTAAATCACATTCTTTTTGCTGACTGGCGGGACACGTGGCATAAATCTCTCTCAGATTAAAAGAATAAGCTGCAAGAAAGCTCTGCCAGAAAGCTCTGTCGTGCAAATATTTCTTGGCAGCAAACACGTGTATGGTGTGGGAATGGCTGATGGAAACTCACCTGAAAATTTGAATTCATGTTGACAGTAGTGCTGTTATCTTACTTGTCTAACATTATTAGGGGCGCAGTCTTTTTCAATATGCCTTCTACTGGGTGCATACAGAACTTC